AGGTCAGTTCAGTAGCATCCGTACAAATGGCTGCGTTGGCTTCGGGAGCTTAAAGCTAAGCACACCTATAGCTACATACCAAAGGGCTTTCATGAGCACCAGTAAAATAAGTCCCAAACAATCCGTGTAAATGGCTAGCGGGAAGTCCACCTTTCAGAACGAATAAATGACATATAGAAGGACTTAGGCCTTTTTTACCCCTACGTTTACTCCATACAATTAAGAATTTAGATTCCCAATTTAGATTTTAAACAGGAACTAATTTTCCGAGAGCGTAGTCCTGGCAGCTCTTGTCTTCCTTTCTGAATACAGGTATTGCCACACTGGTAAATATCTAGCTCTGTCTCCAGCATCGTCCATGCCAGAAGCTTTGGAGGACATTGCAAAAGACTCTCTAATATCTGACTAATTAATTTCACCCAGTGGAAAAGTTTTATTTGAATTCTTGTCCTTGTTACTAGGAATAGCAAGTCTTTCTCAGAATAAAGCTGAATTCCAGGTTTCAATGAGTACGTCAGAGGGCACCAGTGGTTAATGAGACAAGATTCTGAAATGTTCTTTATTTTGTCATAAACATATTTCTTACCTTCCAGTAACATTAGGCTTCCTAGTGAAACAGAAAAAGGTATCATTATCTGTTACACTTCTACTAATTTACAAAACCTTACTGTTTCCTCTATTCATCTCTTCTGCTGTCTGTGCAGTACAGCTCGTGGCAATCTCTCTCCTCTCTGCCCCTGTTAATGTATTGATTTGTCATTGTGCTTCCTGTTTCCAGGAGCTTGAAGGACGCGTGACTAAAACTGAGCAACGTTCCAAAAGGATAATATGGGATACTTTCAGAATTTATTTTCTGCTATGCATTATGTTATGTTAGTTGAGGTTACTGAGGGACTCTTCTCTATCTGGTTGTATTTCTGTTCAGAAGACTGCAGTCTTGGAGTCCTGACAATTCCTTTCTGTGTGCATTAATTTGCATTTACCCATATGAACACTGATCCTGAACCCTCTCCCTGATTTTACCTTTAGGATATAACCTAGATCTGCTCAGTCTTCGATATCTTTCAGTAATATATGCCCGTTTGACTGGAAAAAGTACCAGAAGCCATATACATCTATGCTTGCATGACTACTCATGGCCCTTATATAACCAGGTATAAAAGTCAAAGTCCGATGCTTTTACTTTTTTGATCTTCATGCCAACTACTTCAGCTTTTTGAAAATTATGCCAGGTTTTAATTTTCGAGGGAACCTGTGTAAAACAAAGAACAATTCAAATGTGAAGTAGACGTGACAGAGTGATTTTGTAAAGATTTTACCAAGCTACGATCCTCTTTTTCTGACTTCATTTTGTAAATATCAGGGTTTATGGAACCAGCTTGTTTTTCCACTTTGGTGTTTCCCTCCTGTCCCTTCAGCAATCTGTCTCCAGCAGGACAGTGCAGGCCGTTTCTTTGCATGTGCCAAGGACTCTCTGGCTAGGTTTAAGTAAAACAAGTCAAAGAACCTGAAGTGGCCTGAGGCCAAGAACATGACACTGGCCATGTCCTTGTATCTCAGCTTTCTTCCTCCCAGCACAAACTGGTGATGCCCAAACTGCCATTTGGGTGCAGTCTCAAGCACAGCCATCCCCAGCACTGTCCCTGGGAAGTCTCCAGGGGGTGCCTGTTCGCAGGAGCCAGCACTGTGCTAGGGCAAGTGCTAACTGACCATGTCTACAGTCATGTCCCAGTGCTTCAGCCAGGGTCTCAGGCCTATTTCCTGGTATAAATGAAGCTCAAATGCCCGGGCAAGCAACACAAAGGAAAAGAAAACTGGTTCTCACTTTTCTTCTTTTGAGTGAGTTTAAATTACAAAGGAAGAAAAGTCATTAGAGCAGATCCCTTTCCTGCT